CGGGAGGGGAACCAGGGAGGGCTGCGCAGCGTGCGGGACTGGGCCGGGTTGTCAGGAGTTGGGAGGGCGGCTTGGGGGGCACTGGCCCGGGCGGTGCACAAAGCCAGTATGAGGTGGTGCCTTAACCGTATCCCCGCCAGCACCCTCAGCGTGCCTTTCCGATCGCCTCAGGACGCCGACATCGCCCGCGGGTCCCTGGCCCCCGATGCTGAACCGCACCGCGGGGTGCTTCGTAGGGAGCTCGTGGTGAATGGCAGCTACCTGGCCGTGTAAGTTCTAGAATGGGCCGGGTGGGCGGGGTGGCAGATGCCCTGCTCCTGTAGCCACCTGAGGGGTGGCGCTCTCGTGGAGACCCCGGCAGGGTTAGTTGTCGTGACTGCCGTGTCGTGAGTCGTCACGTTTCGACGGTGGTGTTCTCTTGCCTGGGTCTTAGCCGGTGGACTGCTGAAGACCCTCGGATCCTGAGGATTTCCGTCCTGAGCTTCCTGGACCAGCTGGCCCTGGTGTTGCGGACCATTCAGCGCTTTGGGCCCCCTGTTTAGCGCAAAGCCTAGGTGGAGCGAAGGGGGTGCCGCCTCCTAGGCACGGCGTTCTTCTGGCCACTGATTGCTCCTTTAGACTGAGGGCTGATTTCTTGCCTGTACTGAACTTGGGTTCCGCTTGGAGCCCACTTGGCTTGTTTCTTTGTTGCTTAGATATTTGTCATCGCAGAAAATAAAACTCCGCTTCTGTTCTGTATCTGAGTTCACCTTCAGTTCCGGCACTTCCGGAGACTCCGGGTTGGAGGGGAGGTGCAGGGACTCAGATGTTTAAGTAGTCCAAGATAATTGAGGACAGTCTGGCACATGGAACCAACTAAGTGTTAATTGTATCCTGTTATTCAGCATTCGCTAAATATTTGGAGTATTTTCTTAGTTTTATGGTTCTATTTATACATGACATGTGTAACAATATATAAAGTGTCAGTTGTTTCAAGTTCAGTGTGAAGTTTTTTCCTAAATTATTTTTCACTTAATGTTGAGCTTTTCCTCTTTCTGCAAAATTTTCAAAACGAGGTTATTGGATGAATGCATTAAAACTGTATTCCAGTATTATTACTGAACACTTAAATTGTTCCCAGTTGTTTTTTCCTATTAGAGGTAGTGATTGAGTGGGATTCTTGTACATGTTTGTTTACATGAGTATTGTATTCACCTGACAGATTTCAAGAGGCAGCACTGCTGACTTTTAGCCCCTTTTCCATTTCTTCTTTAATGATGGCTCTGATCTGCAGAACAGAATTGCTCTCCATAAAGGCAGGTGTGCCACCACAGTTCTGGTTTCCACAGAGCCTTGTCCATGCTGGGTTGATTTCCTGCCATAATACAAAAAATTTTGCACGAGAAGAGCCAACAACCCAGAAACACTAGAATAGAAAATTGATGGCTGACTAATCTTGTTTCAGATCAGTGAAGAAAAGCAATGGGACATAGCTTAAGTCTTTGGGCAGGGAGGGGTAGCAGGTACTTTTTGCGGGGAGGGAGGTGCGTTAGCCAGTCCATTCCAACTCATAGCAACCCTATAGGGCAGGGTAGAACTGGCCCATACCATTTCCAAGGTTGTCAGTCCTTAACAGAAACAGACTGCCTTATCTTTCTTCCATAGAGTGGCTGGTG